TCAACATCCTCTTCAGGGATCCCCTGCACCTTCCTCAGCAACTGCGCGAGCCCTACGCTCTCCTTGGGCTTTTGCTTCTCCAACCTCGCTTGCTCGTTACATTCAGCTGCTTCCACCAGCCTGAGATGCTCTAAAGCTTTGATCCTGGCTGTAAAGCCCTCCAGCACGGCCACCAGAAGAGCACTTCTCGCGCTTTGAGCTTCCTCCTCCGGATTGGTATCCTCCTCGGAGGGCGCCGCTGCCTGCACTCTTTTGACCATATCATCCAGAAGCAGGGCGGGGCTTTTGTTATCGGAAGCTTCCAACACATTCTTGAGGTATTTTTCAACGATCTCTTTTTGTGTAGAGGCAGAGGCGCTGCGCACAGCATCCAATGCACGGGCCAAACACGCCGCCACATCGTCGCTCCCAGGAATATCGCCGGAAGCTGCAACATAAGGCAAAACCACAGCATAATCACTAGAATCATTTCTCATTGCTCAATCGACTGGATGCAGTGTTGCAATAACGGGAAATGCACTTGCAGAGGAGCTCGCTGCGTCTCCTCCCTACTGCTGCAGGTCCCACTTACCTATTCCCGGCGGCGGACGACCAAGGTCTTCTGGCCTTCTCATATATTCCACAAGCGCCTTCTGAAGGCTCTCCTCAATCTCCTTCGTGCTTTGTACTCTTCGCTCCCAGGTGTGTAAAGTATCTGACGCGGGAGCTGCTTCGTCATCTGGTACTCGTCCAGATGCAGCCCTGCCCACAGCCATCCTCCCATCCCTGCCCCAAGCCGTGCTACCCACACTAAGAGAAGCACAAACGGCAAGCGCCAAGATGAGACATACTTTAAATGCAACGCTATAACGTCCTGACGATTGGGGTATCCCCCCAGGACGTGCCGCTGGCACGCTCAACTGCTNAATGCAACGCTATAACGTCCTGACGATTGGGGTATCCCCCCAGGACGTGCCGCTGGCACGCTCAACTGCTGTTCCCCCTGGGCCTCGATCGTGGGTAAACCACCTGCGCCTCCACCCCGTGCAACCACAGAAGGGACATGATTCTGGGTCTCATCCAATGGCTTGGTTTCGCTCCTAGACGTTAACCCCAAGCCCTGTGGCGCTTTCTTTCCCATCGAGGCGGGGGGTGCCGCGGATGGTCCCCAGCTCCACAAACCTGGAGATGGAACTCGGTTTCCTAAGCTACCAGTGCGCCAAAATCAAAAATCAGAGAGTTTAGGCGCAAGAATCCAGGGTATAAACAATAGGCACCGAGTTCGGGGCGGACTGGAGGAGCCGGAGTTTCGAGGAAGAGCAAGTTCCGGCTTGTGGCTCTACCACGTTCCAGAAACTCAAAAAGGACAATTAGAAATGTAAAAGAATATACAAAGTAAACGAGAGGGAAACCCGAGCGCGCCTGTTTGGAGGGAATGGTCTATGCATAGTGAAAACCAAAGCGGGACCGATGTTGTAGTGCACAGCGGCCC